ACTCACCTCAGCCTCCCAAAGGCGCGGGATTACAGGCTGAGCCACCGAGTCCAGCTAGAGTGTTTCTTAAATAGTTTTGAATTAGTTTTCAATTTGTATCTGCCGTAAATACAGGAATAGAAATTGTCAGAAATAAAATTAGTAAAGAACGCAAATAAAAATTTCCACTCATAACATTTTAAAATTTCTCTCTTGAGGCTGGGCGTGGTGGTTCATGCCTATAATCCCAGCACTTTGGGAGGCCCAGGTGGGAGGACTGCTTTAGTCCAGGAGTTTGAGACCAATCTGAGCAACATAGCAAGACCTCGTGTCCACAAAAAATAAAAAAAATAGCCAGACATGGTGACATACATCTGTAGTTCCAGCTATTCAGAAGACTGAGATAGAAGTATAGTCTGAGCCCAGGAGATTAAAGCCGTGGAAAGCTGTGATCATGCCACTGCACTCCAGCCTGGGCGATAGAGTGAGATTACAACTCAAAAAAAAAAATTATTAATTAAAATAAAATTTCTCTTGTGGCAGATTCACAATTACAGATGCTCCTCAGCTTACAATGGGGTTACATCCCAAGAAATCCATCTTAAGTTGAACATATCATTAAGTTGAAAATGCATTTACTACACTCCAAGCATCATAGCTTACCCTAACCTACATTAAATGTGCTCAGAACATTTACATTAGCTTACAGTTAGACAGAATCATCTAACACAAAGCCTCTTATAATAAAGTTATTATTAAAAATTTTGAATCAAAATTCAGAGTATGGTTTCTAGTGAATGTATATTGCTTTCACACTATCGTAAAATAAAAAATTGTTAAGTTGAACCATTATAAGTTAGTGAACATCTGTATAATTTTTCATGATTTTAACCACAGGATAGTAGTTGCATTGGTAAGAATTCTGATAGGTCACCTGAATCCTTTTGTACCTTCTGTGTACTTGTCAGGAGAGAAATGTTCATTCATGTAAATTAATTGGGTTGGAATAAGAATACAGTCAAGTCAGCCATTGAACTTACCCTGTAATCTTGTATCTAGCTAAGTTATTTATTTTAATCACTTACATGATGAAAAGTAATTAATCTCTTTACCTCAGAAGTTTGCCAAAGATTAGAGAGCCATCTTATCAGTGTTCTGCATATCTGCAGACTGAAACAGAAAATGCAAAATCTTTTTTTTTTTTTTGAGTTGGAGTCTCACTCCGTCACCCAGACTGGAGTGCAGTGGCACGCTCCCGGTCACCGCAGCCGCAACCTGCTGGGCTCCAGCGATCCTTCCACCTCAGCCTTCCAAGTAGCTGGAACTACAGGCGCGCGCTACCACACCTGGCTAATTTTTTGATTTATTGTAGAGATGAGGCCTCGCTGCCCAGGTGGGTCTCGAACCCGCGGGCTCAGGCAATCCACTCACCTCAGCCTCCCAAAGCACAGGATTACAGGCTGAGCCACCGAGCCCAGCTGCAAAATCTTTTAAATATAATCAAATCCTGGCAGAATTTTGGTTAAGGAAATTTTACTATGTGAGACAGGATTTTAAAACACAACTTCCACCTGTTCTTTAAGATAATGGCATTGTCTTTTACATATTAATGCATGATTTTGACTAGTACATTTGTGTCTTTTTGGTGCCATCCAAAGTTTTTTTGTTTCTGAAAAGTTAACAGAAATCAAAGTAATTTCATAAGGGCTTCTGATAATACCAGAGTGGAATACATATTGTGCTTATATAGTACATACATATTGTACATATATAGTACTCCAAACACACTAGCCTTCTGTTTATTCATTCAACAAAAAAATAGGCCAGGCTCGGTGACTCAGCCTGTAATCCCAGTGCTTTGGGAGGCTGAGGTAAGTGGATTGCCTGAGCCCACGGGTTCAAGACCCACCTGGGCAACTTGGCAAGACCTCATCTCTACAATAAATCAAAAATTAGTCAGGTGTGGTAGCGCGTGCCTGTAGTTCCAGCTACTTGGAAGGCTGAGGCGGAAGGATTGCCAGAGCCCAGCAGGTCGAGGCTGCAGTGGCAGGGAGCATGCCACTACACTCCAGTCTGATCAACGAAGTGAGACTCCCGCTCAAAAAACAACAACAACAACAACAAAAATATTTGTTGAGCACCAAGCACATGTCAGACATACATAGTACAAGGTATGAAATAAATAAGTTTGCGTTGTTCTGTGGCAAAATATAGAAGATCTGAATTTGATAAACACAGTAATCTATTATGAAATCATTTATGGAGACTGAATTTTATATTTTGTGATCACCCAGGTAAGAGTACAAATGCAGTTGGTACACAGATATGTTTCCTTGTGGGTCACTGGGGAGCCATCTACCTGGGTTCTGCACATCAGTATAAAACATGCTAAACGTGTGGAATTCTGTTGTCTTAAAATCCTAGTGCCAACATATAACTGTGAACTAGCTACATAATACTTCAATCAGGTTTTGAAGAAAATCTCACCAAAGTTTGAATTCTATTCAAGTATCATATGTATTCGAGTATCAGTGTTCAAAGTCATTAGCCTAGCCAGTATTGGGTCATGGTCTGTACACTGAAACTTCCAACTCAGGTGGGCCCTTCAGACCTCAGAGGCCCTGATGCTTTATCTACATATAGCAACTTCCTATGGTTGATAGGCCTATGATTAGGCCAAATCACTGCAATTGGTAGCTGTTAAATCACTGTGAGATCTTTAGTAATTCAGCAAACTCCTCATTTTTAGTTTCTTTTTTATAAAATGGGGATATTCAGATTGTCAGCTATTAAGTAGAATCTTGACAAAAATGCCAAGGTTCTTGGCAAAGAAACTTTAAGTTCACTTGTCCTCCAAGTCTCCAAATATAGAGAACAGCTCATATCCTTGCCATAGTTTGTAATACCCAGTATGATCAAAAGCATTTTTGTTTCTTATTTATTTATAGTTAGATTGAATCTCAAATTTGCATGGTTGAGAATATAATATACAGGAAGGAATCTGTTTTTTCCTTCCTTTTCCTCTTTCCGTCTCCCCCTCCTTCTTCTCCCTTTCCCTCTCTCTCTCCTTTTCTCTCTCCTCAAACCATGGACGTGTAAATTATACTTTTATGCTGAAGTGGCCTGATTTTCCATTGTCAAACTGATAAAGAGTTTCTGTGTTCCTGTTTCTCAACAGAATTTGTAATGATTTCACACAAGGCAGTACGTGTGCAAGTCAGTGATTCTCAAGCTTAGTCCCCAGTTATTTATACTTTGAAGCCACTTAAAATGCAAATTTCTAGACTCGCCTCACACCAGAATCATGGGGTAGGACCTGGGGATCTTTGCTTTTAAAAAGCAACTGGTGATTCGGAAATATGAGGTGCTTCTGAGTCACTGCTCTAGAGTTGGGGAGAGTTGGCTCTTGAGGTTCCTCTCAATCCTTTGTTTCTATTTTGGACCTGGTTTGACCCTTGGCAGGTTGTTTGGGAGAACAGAGAGTTCTTCAGAGTGGACCTTGACCCATTCACCTAAAGTGTTCTGCTCTGTTAATTACTGAGTGCCTGCTTTAGTAACTGTCCTATTTCTGTATTTACTTGTCTTGCTGAATATTGAACATTTAAAAATGGCCTGTACAATACCCTTCCTCTTCTCTGGCCTAAATGGACCACTATCTGCTTGGTATATGATAATTAGGATACATATTTA